ATATATATATATATATACACATATATATATACATATATATATATATATATATATATACATATACTTATATATGTATATTCAAAGATATCGCTATACTGTAATGCCCATGGGCCTCGTGGACTCCGGATTTACCTTTCAGGCCTGCCCTCCTCCCTCCTGTTCATTTATGTATCTATTTACGAACAATACTTTATATTTTTTGTTCTACATAGCTATGTAAATATGATATTTGCGATCGCGATGCCAGTGCGGACAACCTCAAGTCACAAGGCTCAAAGTGCCTCAAACTCTGAAACTCGAAGGTTAAAAAAACTTGATGCCTATTTTTTGTTTAGAAAAAATATATATAGAAAAATTTTGCGTATAAAAATACCTATTTTTATGCCCTCTGTATATTTCAGAGGGCTACGTATTTATTTTATTATTCTAAAAGAAATATTTACGTTGAAATACGTTCAATATTTATGTTTACCTGGTCCTATGGTTTCAACTATGGGTGCATACTGATTACTGAGTGCCTTGAGGTTCACAATTTTCCGTATTTCCCTTTTAAAGGGAATAGCTCATTCACAGGTCGATTTATATTTGAGAAACGTTTTATTTAAAATCAGGTTCAACCATCGAATAAATAAGCGTTTACTTTAACTTTTTATTTGAGAGATCAGCATCTGTGATCTGGGGGGCTCGGTCACTTTGGAGTCTGGGCTGTCTGGCCCACTGGTAGTCTGGCGGCCCTCTGACTCGGGCCTGTGCCCTGTGGCTTCGAGGAGTCTCGAGTCTCGACTCCCAAGTCTGGCGACTGGCGGTCTGGCGGTCTGGTCAAAAGAAAATATAAAGACCAATGCTTGATCATTGATGACGAGTTAAACAGTTCTTTTCAAAAAAAAACCCCCTTTGCGACTACGTGTATATTTACGGCCAATAACCAATAGAGATGAGGGAACCCCGATTGGAGATGCGTATCCAATCACATCCTTATTTTTCGAGTTCTCAAGGAAATATACAACAAGCAAGGGTGTTGACCTCCTTGCTGAACTTACGGCCTATTCACATGATGAGTTTCCGTTTATGAAACATGGATTTGTTCTATATTACGCTGCGCCGGCTTCGGCTGCGGCATGTGAAATGTGATAAGGATCACCAAAAGTATTCCGTATATAATGGACACGCAGTACGCTGTAACAGCATACTTATCTAAACAAAATGTCCACTGATCTTATCAATCGCAGTGAGGCGGGGTCCAAGTATTCTTGTGCTACCCCCACTACCATGCGCAGACTCCCGAGGTTGGGCGAGTCATCACCCGCTGGGATGCGTGCGAACCAGTCGGCGTATGTTGAGGAAACTAACGAAATTCGCTCACGAAGGTCGTACGATGGCAACTTGAATCCACAACTAGCTCAAGCAATGGAAATCGCAGACGAAGAAGAAAGGGATCTTTGTAATTGGCACTAGTTTGACGAAAATTTGCTTTTAGTCAATGATAGGCAGCATTGCTTTCCACACAGACTCGACGACCGAACCTTCTCGATGGGACTGTATCAAAGACTCGGCGAAGAAATTGGGAAAGGACCAAACTGAGTTTATTTGGAATGAAGTGCTCTTTCTTCAGTGGGGAGCATTCTAAACTCTATGACTGTGCTCGTAATAGAGCGAAAATGGAAATATATACTATACTAGCTCGTAGGTGAGCTTTTCAAATAAAGCCTGAGGCACTAAAGTTGCTTAGCATGAGTCCTCGTATGATTATTTAACGATTTACAATCTGAATTCGTGCTGCGAAGATTTGTACATTTTGTTGGTTGGCATATTCTGTTCAATTTCGTCCCACTTGCTATACATGGTGAATCATAAGAGAATTGCACGAGCGTCCTTTCATTGCCTTCTTCAATTTGAAGGTCTATGTTGCAGTGCTTATCCATGTCGATATATATTATATATACCGGTTTCATAATTAGTGGAGCTTGCAATGAGAATTTTAAATAAATGCGAGCACGAATAGTTGTATATATGTATGTTGGATAGGGGATACAATTAATTTTAAAAACTTGTGGAATGTGGGTCGAGAGAGCTGGGCAATAATTAAAAAGCTTTGTTGACATTGGACACCGGACAGTGGTGAGTGGACACTGTGGACAACGGACAGTACATAGAATGGGCTGTTGGGCTGTGGTGGCAGTGGTGCGGCGGTGCCTTGTGGTTTGAAGGGTAGTCTCGTACCGAACATCTAATACTTTATTGAGCCCGCCAAAATGGTTTCACTCTTAGGGTTTTTTGCGCTCAAGAAACCCTAATCCGCAGACCACTGACCGCAGTCCACACTCCTCAGTGCCCGAAACCGATGTTGTGACTTGGACATACATGATACATACTACAAAATTATTATATGTTTACACATAGGCCATAGCCCACCTTCGAGTGGCCACAGATATGTGACTTCTCCATCAAAGATAAGTTGCGATGATATATACAGTGTAGCTAGGCAAATACATGGAGCTGGCCCAGTTGAATGCGTGACACAGGTGAGTCACGTTCAGGCTACTGGAGGATCTGTTGTATATATTCATCTACAGGAATGTTATGCAGGTATCTCTGCACCACATAGAAAAGAACCGTTGATTCATTTCGTACCATCCTTGAAATCTTGCGACGTACGTAAGCAACCGAGTATGATACCTTGTTTTATGAAGAAGCGTGTAAACTTGTATTTGCTGCCAGAAGCCTGTCAAGCTGTCATGATGCAGGCGAGTTCGCAAGCTAGATTGCAGAGCCATGGTATATATAGACATAGAGGAATTGCAAGTATGGGCATGCGGTCAATGCCTTATAGAACCCTTACGACCTATAGCCGGAAAGGTCTTCCTTTCTACGGCCAGGGAACCGCATCCCAAGTTGTGTCTAAGAACTCTGTACATGGGTTTACACTTAGGCACATCTGTACAAATAAATACATACATATACACAGCAGCACACATAAATACACAAATTCATACAGCAATAGTCAGAGATACGCACATACGCCCGAGAGGAGGCGTCACTCACGAGCATTTAGAGCTAAAGGGCTAATGCTACCTGGGCTACAGGCACACCGGCTTACTATTCCCACGGTATGGTCTAGTAAAATACAAAAGAGGACTCACGCGAGTTTACAATATAAGGAGACATCGCTTTTCACACACCAGCGATTTTTCACACACCAGCGATTAAAGGTGAATATTCATAAGAAATATGTATCGAATATAAACACGCAAGGAAGGGTAAGTAAGAATCATACTACAAACAACCGCTTAACTAGCCTATCTAACACATATTCATATAAAAATCGCTTAACTGGTAAGTCTACCACACATCCAAACAGTGCTAATGATCGTCATGGCAAGAAAAGTACCAAAAAAAGAAGCACGCCATTCAGTGGTGTACACGATCATATCAGCAGGAAAGATACCATGAAAACTCAGACACGAAGTCGAGGAGCAATGAATGAACGTGGCCATTCGGAAGAAGCTGCAACTAAACACGCATACAACCAAGATGCTATAGAATATCGTGGTATAAACCACCTAGAACGAGGGGATAGATACACACGGCACAACTCACACGAATCCCCGAACTACTTAGAGATACGAGATACCTACACGCAATATAACTCGCACGAGAGTGATTGTTCACTGAATCTGCGACTCATGGTAAGTGTTAAGACTAAGACAGCCGGTGCAGATGTGCATTCTGGCTCTGCACAGGTCGAGTTACACATGAAAGACGGAGAGCTACAACCACACACCCAAGTCGGAGATATACGACCACACACGAAAGTCAATAATACTGTGGATATAGTGCACGCGTGCAGCGCATCCACTACCGACGGCAAGGAAAGCTTGCAAGAGGCAGTGGCAGGCCGTAGTACCTCAGAAGAAGCGGCGAATAGCAGTGGAACAATTAAACTATCAGGTGCGTATAGGCAAAAGGCAACAGACCACAACAAAAGTCAGGCTGAGTACGACAACGGTCGTACCAATCACGCCTATAATCAGACACCAGATGGCGATGAGATTTTTCCACACAGGCTTCACCGGGAAGAGTTCACGGAAGGCGTGGATAGGGTTACACTGCTCGGGTGGCGGGCCATGGAGTTATACCTGCGCAAGAACTGGCACAATCCGCAGAAGATGATCGAGGCGGTCACAACACTAGGTATGTTATGTATTATTGAAAATATACATTAATATATATAGGAAACTATATTCTTTATTCACTTGTACTGTAGACTGTCACTAAGGATACGCACAATGTATGGCATTCGGTATATTGATTGGCCTAGTTCATTTCACCAACGACAAGATAGTTATGGTATTGTATA